TTAACCAAGCAAGATATTTTAACTGTCCAAACAATTCCCTGGAAAAACGTCCCTGATAAGTGGTACAGAGAATGCCTGCAATGTCCAAACACAGCAAAAAAATTGTTTTGAGTGTGTTCTATATCACACTGCATTTATCATAACTTATTAACACATTCCCCCTCTCCCTCACCATGTGTAGGCTGCTAATGAAGAAGGGGGACAGATGGCTACAAATTCCTATTCATTTCAAAGCTAGGTCTTTTGTAGAACTGGGAATAAGGATGCCATGGTGGCTAATTACACGCTCAGAGTCTGGCGAGATGACTGGCCAAAGGCTTGGCCTGGTCAGTCATAGGCATTAGCAAACTGCAGTCAGGCCAGCTTTTGCCACCATACACCTAGACATTTGGGTAGATGCCACAAATGGTGTGGCTGGTTTTGCCAATTAATGAGGCACCAGCCTTCCAGCAGCTGGGGTCCATGGACTTTCTGGCATGACCCTGATTGTAATTGAATTCAGTAAACATTAAGTGCTAGAATACAAAGATAAAAACAAAAGTCCTTGCCCTCAAGAATCAGAGTTAAATAACATACACACAGGTAATAGTATGTATCCAAATACATATTAAATGATATATAGATATATAGATATAATAAAATAATACGTATGATCAAAGTAAGATCACAGATTCAGACCTCGGAGGCCATCTTGTCCAACCCCCTCATCTTACAGATGAGAAAACGGAGGTCCAGGAAGTGACTACATTGAGATCACTCAAGTAGGAAGTATAAAAAGTGTGCTTTGAACCCCAAGTCCTCTGTGTACTGAGCCAAATAAATACAAAATAATTTGAGGGAAAGGAATTTCTAAAACCTGGAAGGAATCAGGAAAGACCTCATTAGGATGCTCAAGGTGAGCCTTAAATAGAACTATGTATTCAGGTAGAGATGAAGAAGAAAAACATTTTAGTCAATGCTTCAGGATTAGATATTGTGGGAAATAATTCCAGAGATTAAATTAAAGTCATAAACACCATAGCTTTCAATGGTCTCTTCCAGAGAAGATTATACCTGAGTAGATCTGAAGTGGGTCTACAGGTTCCAGAAGTCATCTTATTCATTCAAGACACTGGGCTTCATGTGCCTTAACTCTAGAAGAGTCAGCCGTCCTGGAGAATGTAAGCTCCTTGAGAGCAGGGGTCATCCCATTTCTGTTAGTATGTACTTGTTGAATTAAACTAACTTAAAGTAAAAGTATTCACCACAAACAACCAAATAGAAACACCAATGAATTCGTAAGGGCCATAGAATACAACCTTGGAGCCAGGAAGACAGGTCTAAGCCTCATCTCTGCATATACTGGCTGTGTGACCCTGGGCACCCACCCATGGGAGCCTCCTTTTCTTCATCTGGAAAATGGATGAACTCACTCAGCATAGCTGTGAGGATCAGGTGACTTAACGTAAGTAAAGTGCTTTACAAACTTGAAAGGACTCTAGAAATATCAGCTATTACTATCATCATCATCATCATCATCATCAGTAGTTGGAGTAGTTTGACCTTCTTTCCAGCACCCCACATAGATGGCTATCCAGAAGACCTGAATTCAGATGCCACTGTCGGTGCCTTCTCTAGAAAGTGAGGGGGCTGGATTTTACGGCCTCTGAGGTCCCTTGTACCTCTAACTCTATGAGCCTACAAGGCTGTGATAACAGCCATCAAGAGGAAGCCCCAATTTGTGAGGCAGCACCTTTCCTCTGTTTCTGAGCTCTTCTTTAGAGCTGGAATCCTGCCTTCCTCCAGCTTTGACTTCTTTGGTCCTTGATTTGCCCTCTGAAGCAACACAGAAAGAGTTAGCTCGCTCTGTCATATGGCAGCCCTTCAAATATTGAAAGGCAGCTGCTCAGAGTGAGCTGAGTTCATGAAGATTAGGTGGGCAGAGGTACCTGGGGAAGGGGGGACTGATGCAGGATGCAGCAGAAGGCACAGAAGTGTGGGCAAGCAGGGCAGAGGAGTAGCCCCTCCCAATGTCTCTCCTTTACTCCTGAAAGAGAGTCAGAAGGCACATGCCCAAGTTCATTTTCTACTTTAATCTGATGCTGGGGGAGCCCGTACAAGTCTATTAATTCTACTTTAATGGATTCTCTGGAGGAGAAAATAAACCCTCAGATCAGCATTTGAAGTGACATGTTTCAATTTATGAACTCACAATCCCACTCTCATCTACTGAAGACAGCTGTCATATAAACTGCCCTCACTTAAGTTATCACCACCTCCACTTTTGTCACACATACACACACACACACACACACACACTTCCATCATCCATGTTTCCTCATGTTCCCCCACTCACCCCCCACAAAAGGTCAGCATTAGCTTGCCAAAGAAAGCAGCCCAAAAAAGGACAAAATCCTGAATTCTCAATCAAGGACCAAAGATTATATCTATACCTTGTAGCCCCAGAGAGAATTGCCTGCAACTCTGGGAAATTATGCAACTCATTCCTGGGAAAAGGGAAGGAAGGAAGGAAGGAAGGAAGGAAGGAAGGAAGGAAGGAAGGAAGGAAGGAAGGAAGGAAGGAAGGAAGGAAGGAAGGAAAGGAGGAAGGAAGGAAAGAAAGAAGGAAAGGAGGAAGGAAGGAAGGAAGGAAGGAAGGAAGGAAGGAAGGAAGGAAGGAAGGAAGGAAGGAAGGAAGGAAGGAAGGAAGGGAAAAATGAAGGAAATAAGGGAAGGAAGAAGGAAGGAAAAGAGGATGTGAAGGAGGGAAGGAGGGAGGGAAAAAGGAAGAAAGGAAGGAAGGAAGACAAGCATTTGTTAAGCATCTACTAATAGCAGTGCGTAGAAGTTGCAAATAGCTAACATTTATATAGCACTTACTACGTGCCAGGCACATTCGAATACTATCTCATTTGATCCTCACAACCAGCCTCTGAGGTATTATTATCCCCATTTTGTACTTGGAGACAGACAGAGGCAAACAGAGGTTAAGTGATTTGCCCAGGGTCACATAGCTAGTAAGTGTGTGAGGTCGCATTTGAACTCGGGTCTCCCTGACTCCAGATCCAATACTCTATCACACCACTTGGCTGCCTACTGGGAGGAATAGGAGGAAGAGAAAGAGGAAAAATAAAGGAGGAAGGAAGGGAAGGAAAAGAAAGGAAAGGAGGAAGGGAATGGACAGAAACGTAGGAGAAGACCCAGAGGAGATCATCTTCATGAAAACCTAGAGAGAAAAGAATAGATGGGAGAAGAGTGTCAAAGGCTGCAGAGAGATCAAAAAAGATGAGGATTGAGAAAATGCCATCGGATTTGGTAACTAAGGGATCACTGGTGACTTCAAAAACAGCAGTTTCAGTTGAATGATGAGCTAAGAATGGAGACCATAGAGAGATGAGAAGAAAATGAGATGAATGGAAGTGGAGACAGCTTTCTCCAGAAATTTAGCCATGAAAAAGAGGAGAGATATGAGATGATAGCTAGAGGGGATGAACATATAAAGTGAGGGTTTTCTGAGGGCTGGAGAGACATGGGCAAGTTTGTAGGTAAGAAGGAAGCAGACAGTAGTCAGGGAGAGACTAAAGGTAAGTGAGAAAGTGGGAATGAAGAGGGACAATCTGCTGGAGAAGACAGAATGGAATGGGCTCACTCGTGCTTATAGAAGAGTTTGCCTTGGTAAGGAGAAAAGTCACTTTATTATATGAAACAGGGATGAAGGAGGAGACAGAAGCAGAAGGCATCTGAGTGATGTGAAGTGAGGAGGAAGAGAGAAGAGGAAACTTTCAACAAATCGCCTCAATTTTCTTCAGTGAAATATAAGGCAGCTCTTATTTCTCCCTTAGCTGAGAGGGAGAGCCATGGTACATTTGAGGAGGTTTGATTGACATAGTGAGTCAGTTAGGAAGGTTTAAAGGATTGCCTTGAAGCTGTGAGGACCCAGTTGAAATTCTGTAACATACATTTGTAGTAGACCTAGTCAGCATGATTTTGTGATTTTCCCCAAATTTGTTCAGCCCCAGGTAAATATTCTTTCAGATGAGGAAACTTGAGGTAAGAGAAATTACATAACTTGCCCAGGGTCACACAGCTAAAGTGACTGAAGATTTTCTACAAGATCAAAATATTCATATTGATGTCAGTGACTATCCTTAAGGCAGTTAGATGGTACAGTGAATAAAGCATTGACCTTGGAGTCAGGAAGGGCTGAGTTCAAATTCAGCTCCAGACACTTACTAGCTCTGTGATGCTGGGTACAGTGTCCATATACCTCAATGTACTAATTTGTGAAACAGGGAAAATAGTAACTCTAGTACCTCTCTTACAGGGCCATGCAGAGGCACAGGTGAGATAATGTATCTAAGATGATACATAAATTTCAGATCTTATTGATTAAGAAGAGAGGAAGTGTGGTGTAGTAAAGATAAAGCCAGCCCTGGAGGCAGCCTGACCTGAGTTCAAGTCTCATTTTTGACAGACACTGTGTGACTCTAGACAAGTCACCCCAGGCAACTCTAGAAGACTGCAGATGCAGAACCACATGAGATCTTCATTCAGCAGAGCTCAACCAGGAACTTCTTACCATAGTGAAATCACAACTCCAGGTTACTCAAAAAAAAATGATTAAGAAAATATATAATGACAGGAAGCTATTATGAATTCAATAATTCTTTTTTTTAACGAGTTGCTACTTTACTTATCACACAAGGGTCTACATATATTTGAAAAACAAAGGGTGTCCCAAAAGTCTTTGGTAAGCTTTAGTAACTTAAAACTTCCCTAAGACTTTTGAATGATTATTCAGTCTACATAACAGACATCTGTTTATTTATGGGTTTGTGGACCAACTCCTTCCAAAAGCTCCCTGATCCTCAGGTCACAGGTGGGCAAAGTCAGTGGACAGGATGACCTCCAGTCCCCTTCCTGCTCTAGGTCCTATCTATGGCACTAGTGGTGGCTGTCCTGTTCATGGCTTTGAACCAAGCCCTCTCTCCCATGACTCGCCATGTTCGTTACCCATCCAGGTTCTCCAAGGAGCAGCGACTTGCTTCTATGCCTTCATTGGATTTGACATCATCGCCACGACAGGAGAAGAAGCAAAGAATCCCAACACATCCATTCCTTATGCCATCACCGCCTCCCTGGTCATCTGCCTCACGGCATATGTGTCCGTAAGTATAAGAATCCATGGAGGGGAGACATGCAACAGGTGTCCCCTTGGACCTCCTTCCATTTTCTAATTTGAGAAAAATGACTGTGGCTGTGTGTTTTCTTCTCTGTTGTCTGTCTTCTGACTTTTTTTTTGTATTGATATCTTTTGCTTTTCTACCATCTTCATTTCTGAATGTATCCCTCCCTCTCTCCTAGCTTTGCAACAGAGAATAAAAAGAGAAAGAAAAAAACATTTCCAACCATTCTAACCAACACACTACCCAAGTCTGACAGCATGTACAACGTCCTCTACCCCTAGTTCCCCATTTCTGCAAATAAGAGAAGGAAATGGAAGTTCTCCAGGGCTAAGCTGGAGAGCTATTCTTACAGTGTTCACCCTCATGGCTGCATTCTTTCCATCTACATTGTTGTCCATTGTGAATCTCTGTGACTTGCATCAGATCAGTGCAGCTGGGGAGACAGAACATTGGAATACATGCGTTCAGCCTCTACTCTTGTTGCTTGAAGCCCTGGGTTCTAGCACCTGAGAGCCACATACACACCCCTCAGGCCCAGGGGCAAGAAGTACACATAGCCAGCAACTTACAAATGTTTTTTGAGACTTGAGATTCACAGCATTTGTCACGGTAGGTCTCTACCAGAGACATCTCTGAAGTCATCCCCTTTGGCCTCAGACGCCGTCATTTCTTTGCAGCATCCACAGAATCAAAAGTTTCTCAGTCTGCTGAGGGCGCTCTTTCAACTTCCACGGAAGAGAAAAAAAATCACAGTCTGATGTTTCTTCATAGAAATCATCTGTCTCTCCTGCAAAACCCCAGCATTCATTTCAATTTGGACTGGAATAAGTAGATAAGCTAAAGACCCTATTACACACACACACACACACACACACACACACACACACACAAAAACACACCCTTCATGCCCCACCCACTCCACTCTTTGCACAGTTTCACTTCTGATCTCTGGGCCAGAGTGACCCTGGCAAATACTTCAGGTTGGGATGCTGTCCAAGGCAGCACACATCATAGACTGGCGGTATCGGCTGTGCAAAGCTGAGGCACTGTTCGGTCCTCGTGTAGTCGCACGTCAATGAGCTTCTGTCTTTGGAGGCTGCCAGTGCAATATAATCAAATTCAGCTGCCAATAGAAGAGAAGGTAAATCAGCATGTCATCCGGAGAATTTAGCAGAAGTACCAGCCACTCCCTTGTGCAGAATAGAGCTGTACTTAGGAATTTTTGAACCCCAGTGAATACCGCCAACTTTACCCAGGACAAGCAACAGAAACCATGCTTTCTGTTAGGCAGGAGTGAGACAGAGACAGAGGCAGAGAGAGCACTCTTGAGATACTGTGAGGCTGCTTCTTGCGAGGCTGCCATCCAGGGTAGGAAGGAAACAGGATGAGCTAGGGGAGGAGCTCACAGTGACCCACCATCTTGTAGCTTCCTGTTTTAACAAATTGTCTTTGCTAAGGAGGAGCTAAACTCTGTTGTTTCTATGCTTCTGAAGGCTTACAAGCACTATATCAGTACCCTGGGATAAAGCCCTTATCACCCCACCCTTGTTGTAGCTTTGTCCTTGAACCTATCTACAACTACTCCCATCCCTTTTGCCTGGTATGTTCCAGCTGGCCCCTTCTTCATTTGGCATCAATGCTAATTGGTCCCCTGAGGCTCTTCCCCAGATGTGTGAGGCTCCCATCTTTGTCTCCTAAGGTTCATATGCAGATGCCACGTGAAAAAAAGAAAGGAATTGACACCTAGGAATGTGCTAATATTTTTAAGGCTTGGCATTGTCTGTACCTGCCTAGTGCACAGACCAGAGATATGTCTCTTCACTGCCAAGCAGGCTCTCAGCAAGCCATAACAGAGAACCTCTGACTGGCTAATAGGCTATCTCATCATACTAATCACGCTGGGCCAAGAGAGGCAGCACCATTTCCAGACCCCATTAATTAACATAATAAAGTCTTTGGACTTCTGTTTGTAAATCACAGCCTGGAGTCATTGGCCAAGCTTCTCATTCCTCCTGCCATGACCTAAAAGGTGATACCTCTTCCTTCATGACAACTCTCTTTAGCAGCCACCCCCAAGGAATAACCAACTGGTTAAAGAAGGGAGGGGAAAAGATTGGCTAGATTTGGGGAGAGCACAAATTACACTTGGAAATGTTGGTTTGCATAGATTTAGAGCTGTAAGAAAACAACCCACCAACTCCACGCACCTAATTTTACAAATCAAGAAACTGAGGCACAGATAGATTAAAATGACTTAGCTGAAGTCATACAGGTAGTAAGTGGCAGAGCCGGGATTCAGACTGAGGGCCTTCTACTGCATCATGCTGTCTCATTGATGAATGTGTCTGATTCTACTCACCTCAAAACTTTTTAGTGTCTGAAGGCATTTTTCACCTGTGCACCTCCCCCAAAAGTTGGCTTTTTCACAAGCTGAATAAGACGTAGTGGATAGAAAGGCTAGAAGAAGATCCTGGAAGACTGGAGTTCAAGTCCTGCTGTGGATGCATACAAGCTGTTTGGCCAAGGACAGGGCAACTCCTCAGTTCCTCAGGCAGCTCTCTAAGACTACTTACTGGTTACAAAAGAGCCATCGGTCTGGAGAGCCTCTACGCCAGGAGATCCACTCACCAACAGCCATGGGTCCAAAATAAACATTATCACCCCTACGTTACTTCACCCTTTCTCCTGTCGTAGTCAGTTTTCACAGCATCCAGCGAGATCTCTGTATGGAGGGGAGGTCTATTCCCAGATACTGGAGTTTTTTATTTATTTGGTTGGTTTTTGCCCAGGTTTCTAAAGATAAGGTCAGCCTCTGACTAGCAGCCCAAAGTGAGCAGAGATGGGAATCTTTGAGTCCCTCAGCTCACATTGGGTCTTAAAGGGAAAGCCATTCAGTCAAACTGCTAGTCCCAACAACCCTAAAATCCCATCACTGGGCTTGGAAGGACTCTACTCCTAAGCACTTAGGGGTGAGAGAGTAAGAAAGAGAGCAAAGGCATGGAAAGATCTTTAGGGACACCCCAGCAAACCCACTGGTCTCAGTGTTGCTTGGCTACAAGGGCCAGCATCAGCAGCTGGCATCCAGTACCCACCATAGTAAACACTAATGAGACAGAGCATGGTGCACAGGAGATAAGATAGGATTCCTATCCCTCTGGATCTTACTGTCTAATAGACACCATCACATCACTGTAATACATAAAACTACATAATTTGACCAAGTTTGGGAGCAAAGTCACCCAAGCAACCAGTAAGAACTCTTATTATATGGGAAAACATCTAATCTTCCTTGAGATCTGAATAGGTCTCTCTTTGTCCTAGAACTCTGCAAAATGACTGTTGGTCTAATATGTCCCACTCCGTGCTCATAATCTGGCATGTGCTCTCTCTCTTTTCTTGAACAGGTGAGCGTGATCTTGACCCTGATGGTGCCCTATTATGCCATTGACACCGAGTCTCCCCTCATGGAGATGTTTGTGGCCCACGGATTCTACACTGCAAAATTCATTGTGGCCATCGGCTCTGTCGCTGGCCTGACAGTCAGCCTGCTGGGGTCTCTCTTCCCGATGCCCAGGGTCATTTACGCCATGGCTGGTGATGGGCTTCTCTTCAGGTCAGTGCCACGCTCCTGGACGTAGACTCCTTTCCCATGACCACCCTGTTCCCAGACTCTGGAGGTGGCCGCATGTCAGTACCTCAGTCACTGTTCACTCTTGACTGAAGCTTTGGACAGATGCACTAGGAAAGCCAAAGGATTGAGAAGGGTTTATAAGAAGAGGGGCAGATCCCCTGACTCCATCACCTCTCAAGGTTTTGTTCTTCTTTGGGAGGAAGGAGAAGGAAGTAGGAAGACAAAATAGATTTTTGTTAGTTGAAAAATTAAATTAAATTATTTTTAAAAACAAGAAAAAGTTAGGGATATGGCCCCTTGGTTGGTTCAGGGGTCACACTGATAAGTCCCTCCAACAGCCCATTTTCCTTCCTATGATCAAAATGCCCTCCAAAGTCGTCAGAATGCCCAGAATAGCAAAGGAAAGGAGGAAATAACCTAGAGAGCCGAGGAGGATTGTGGAGCATCTAAAACAATGCCCTTCCATCTCCTTCCAAAGTAGGTATCACAGTGACAACCCGTGATGATTTGTTAAGGTCATCACACACACACACACACACACACACACACACACACACACACATACACACATGCCCCTTTGTGTCATTGACATACTCTTCAGACCCAATCAACATGTCACATCAGATAATCAAGAAGTGAAGAAGCTGGTCACATCCTGCAATGATCCCAGGTGGGTTACTTCTTACTACAGAGGTTTTTTTAAGAGCCAAATCCTGAGGCACCAGCAGTTCTGGGTTCTTGTGGAACTATACCTAATCTGTCAATGAGTGGGAGAAACTTTGCCCTGGGCTCCTTATGATCCAAATCAATCACCTTTGCTGGCAGTCCAGATTCTACCTCCCACTCTTAAATCGCTGAACCTCTGCCTGCCTCAGTTCCCTCACCTGTAAAATGAGGATAACAATAGCCCCTAGTTCACAAATTTGTCGTGAGGATTTAATAGGGTAATAAATGTAAAAGGGCTCTCGGCATCATTATTAAGCCCTGCTTCTGTCTCCCTTTAGATTCCTGGCCCACGTCAGCTCCTACACAGAGACGCCAGTGGTGGCCTGCATCGTGTCCGGCTTCCTAGCCGCTCTGCTCTCTCTCTTGGTCAGCCTGAGGGACCTGATTGAAATGATGTCTATTGGCACTTTGCTTGCCTACACCTTGGTCTCAGTCTGCGTCCTGCTCCTCCGATACCAGCCAGAGAGCGACATTGATGGTTTCGTTAAGTTCTTGTCTCAGGAGCACACCAAGAATAAGGAAGGTGTCCTGGCTGAATGTGAGAAGGAAGTTTGCTCTCCTGTAAGTGAAGGGGAAGAGTTTTCAGGCCCAGCTACAAATACGTGTGGGGCCAAGAATTTACCATCTTTGGGAGACAATGAGATGCTCATCGGGAAGTCGGACAAGTCTGCCTACAATGTCAACCATCCTAACTATGGCACCGTGGATATGACATCTGGCATAGAGGCCGACGAGTCAGAAAACATTTACCTGATCAAGCTCAAGAAGTTGATTGGACCTCGCTACTATACCCTGCGGATCCGCCTTGGCCTTCCGGGCAAAATGGACCGGCCCACGGCGGCCACTGGCCACACAGTGACTGTCTGTGTGCTCCTGCTCTTCATCCTCATGTTTATCTTCTGTTCCTTCATCATCTTCGGCTCAGATTACATCTCGGAGCAGAGCTGGTGGGCCATCCTCCTGGTCGTCCTCATGGTCCTGCTCATTGCTGCCCTGGTGTTTGTGATCTTGCAGCAGCCAGAGAATCCTAAGAAGTTGCCCTACATGGCCCCCTGCCTCCCATTCGTGCCCGCCTTCGCCATGCTGGTGAATATCTATCTCATGCTAAAACTCTCCACCATCACCTGGATCCGGTTTGCTGTCTGGTGCTTTGTGGGTAAGCCTTTTCCTTCAAGGATGATGAGTTCTAGGACATTTTTGTAGGGTTAACTCAACACTCTTCTGGGGGAACTGGGCCACCTCCAATGTGAAAGAGATCAGGCTGAGCTCTGTGGACCCGGGCTTCTATATTAATGAAACAGAGTGGCCCTTTCTAGTTCAGATTAACAGCCTGTTCCTTCCAATGACCTTGACTCTGGAAGGATAATGGGGAACAATTGATTCAACAAGTATCCATTGAACTCCTGCTATCTACAAAGTGATGCTTCAAAAGTACAATGTAACAGAGTAGAAATACCATTTGATTAGTCATTGGGAGATGTGGGTTTGGGCCTGTCTCTACCACATAGTACTTGACCTCAGGCAAGCCATTTTCCACTCCTTGTCTTTAGTTTTCCTCATCAAAAAACTAAGAGGATTGGAATAGAATGGGGGCTTTAACCATTTTTGTGCCTTAGACCCCAAAGGGTCTAATAACAGCTAATAATAATAGATAGCATTCACACAGCACTTTACACATTCATTCATTTGATCCATGCCCCAACCCTGTGATGAGGTAGGTGTCATTATCATCTCCATTTTGCAGATGGGGAAACTAAGGCTGAGAGATAGTCAATGGCTTGCACAGGATAAAGTTAGGCAACTGAGGCAGAATTTAAATTCAGGTCTTCCTGATTCCAAATCTAACACTTCATCCATCACACCATTTATCCATCTGCCATTTGCAATCTGGTGAACTTTAAGAACCTGTCCTCAGAGTAATGTTTTTCAATGCATAAATTAAATACATAGGATTACCAAGAAACCTGATTATATTGAAATAAAGATGCAGTTTTTTTCCCCACTCAAGTTCATAGACCCCAGGCTGAGCACCCTGGACTAGAGAATCTCTAATATCCCTTTCAGCCTTAAAGTCTATATAGGCTAAACAGCTGGCATTAGTCTTAGAGCCAAAAAGCCCTGGGTTCGAGCCCTACCTCTAAAACCTACTTGCTATCTGACCCACTTACACATTTAACTGATTGATGACCCCTGCCAGCTCTCTAAGACTCCGTTGCAGAGCAGTTGGTGATCTGAATTAGTAGTGATTCCTCATCAGAAGTTCCCCAACCAGTGAAAGAGATAAATAAGGTCAAGTGAAAACCAAATGGTAGATGATACTGCGAGCCATAAGCAGGCTGGGAACCTAGAGGAGATGGAGGTTTTTCAGGCTAGAGTCTAAGGAGGAGTCAGAATCTGAACTGAGCCTTGAAGAATGCGCGGGGTTTAGATAGGCAGAGAGAAAGGGGCAGGCAATACTGGAGGTTGGGAGGCAATATGGGTAGGAGCATCCCTCGTACCCTTTCTTAGACTTTCAGCACACGCTCCTACCTATGTGGTCCACTACCTTCTACCATTTTGTTCCACCTTTTCAACACCTCACTTCCATTCTCAGAACCCCAGTTTATTCAAGAAATATTTGCTAAGCTCCTACTATGTTCCAGGCACCGTGCAAAACATTGGGATAAAACTACAAACAGACAGGAAGAGCATCTTTCAATGAAGGGTCTTTCAACCTTTTCTTGGAGATCCCCAATGATGGGGAACTCACTAGCACCTAAAGCGTCTCACTTCTGGACTGCCTGAATCATGAGACGTCAGATGGAAGTCTCCAAAAAAAGGCTGCAAGATCATTTGAGGAAGACGTTGTGGAGAAGATTCTGATTCTGTAGGTCTATGTGGCCTCTGAGGTCTGTTACAAGCCTTGACATAACTTCAGGTTATGTCTCCTTGCTTATCTTTTTTTTTTTTTGTGAGGCAATTGATAGTAACACACAGTCAGAATTACAGAATGTTAGAGGTGGGAGGAACCTCAACGATCCTCTAGTCCAACCCTTTCCTATTGCAAATGAGGTATCTGAGGCCAGAGAGAAGAAGTGATTTGTCCAAGGTCACACAGCCAGGCAGAAGCAGAAAGGAGACCAGGATTAAGGTTTCCTAGTTCCGGGACAGGGTTTTCTTCTGCATCATGCTGCCCCCTAGTGGAAGTTTTCATTTTATCCTGGCATCAGATCTATGTTATTTTTATGTTTGTTTTATTTGTTAGTATTTGGTTGTTTATTTGTTTATTTCTTTTGTTGCTTGTTTTTGTTATTATCCACTAATTATTGTATAATAATATTTTTCTCTTTCTTTACTGGAATACATTTATTGTCCCCTGCAAAATCTATGGACATATGATCTCATCAGTATGAGATGCAGTGATGCAGATGACCCACCCTATCTGTCAGTTAGAGATTCTGAGTCTTCTGAGCCTCTGAAAGATTAAGTGATTCATCAGCAGTGGTCACATAGGTAGGAAGTAGCTAAGGCAGGACTTGAACCGAGGTCTCTTCACTCCTCCAACAGTGTTCTTTCCACTATGCCATGGACAAATACTCTACTTGCCAAATAGCTTTTTAATATAGAGTCATTTCAACTAAGATTGCCCTTTGAGAATTTATGGCATAGGCAAGCTGCCTGAGGCAGCCAGGGTCAAACTGGAGTGCCAGACTCTACCTGTGTGACCCCGGGCAAGTCACTTAATCTTGATGTTGCCTTGCTTCTCTCATACATAAAATAAGGGTTGAAATAGCATTTACCTTACAGGGTTATTGAGAGGATCAAATGAGATAACATAGATAAGATGCTTTGAACACCTTAAAGCCCTGTATAAATACCAGCTATAATTATAATTATTATTATTTTATTAATTTCTAGCCTCTCTTGTAGTACAAACTAAAAACTCCTCCCTAAAAAACTGCTCACACTCCCTAAGTGTCCAGTTGTCCATTACTGGTTGTCTAGTACTGGAAGGGTTCCTTTGCTCAGTGTAATGCCCCAGAACTTTCAATCACAGTGAAGGAAAGTGTTGGAGCCTGGCCACCTGCTGCCGCCATCTTGCGACAGATCTGCAGATGAGGAGACTTCCGTCTCCCTCTCCTTAGTCATTGGGCTCCTAGTCTCTTGGACTCCTTATTGCTCACAAAGTCCCAGAAGCTCAGAATGTCAGGGTTGGAAGGGATCTCAGAAGCTATCATGTCCCACCCATACCTACTCCTTGTGTCCTTACTGACACAATTCTTGCTGGCTACAAAAAGGAGTAGAGAGGTTTCATCTAAGAAGAATGCACGACTAAGAGATGAGCAGATGAACAGACAGCCTCTCTGTTCTCGGTTTACTATGTGTGACAGCCACCACACACATAACCCCCCCCCCGGTAGGCTTTAAAAACCTTACCTGGTGACATAGAATAAACAGCCAATATCTAAATCTTTGGGCCTGAACTCCTGGCTTCTAGCCTCTCCCCTTTCAGATCTGTCCTCCACAAAGCTATCAAAACAGTACTCCTAAAGCATGTAAAATTGTGTCACCCCAAAGCTTTGGTAGCTCCCTCAAGCCTCTATGATAAACCTCTCTTAACCTGGAGTTTTTAAAGCATGGAAAGATTTCAGTGGGTCTGTAAATTTGGGGTTTTTTAATATTCTGATGACTGTATTTCAATATAATTGGTTTCCTTTATAATCCTATGTATTTATGCATTTAAAAATATTGTTCTAAAAAGAAGACCATACGCTTCCCCAGACTAATGAAGTCCATGACATGAAAAAGGTTAACTCCTTCTAAGAGAAAAGACAAACTCCTCTCTATTAACATTTAAAGCCATGGTCTAATTCTATCCTATCTTTCTAGGCTTATTACACATTATTAACCCCTCATATACTACATTTCAGACAAAGTAGTCTACTTGCTATTCCTTGAACTCAGTACTCCATCCATATTCCACTTCCATGCCTCTGCCCTTGCCTAGAACTCGCTCCCTCCTCACCCACACCTCTTAAAATTTTTAGTCCCATTCTAGTCTTAATCCGTATGTCACCTTATATGGGAAACTTTTTCTAATTCCCTTGGTTATTAGTGCTTTCTTCCTCCTCCTCCTCCTCAGATTGCCATCTATCTATGTGTCTATGTACCAGGTTGGTGACATGTTATATCCTCTCTCCTATTAGAATATAAGCTCCTTGAAGGCATATACTGTTGTTAGGTTTTGCTCTACTTTGAATCCCCAGTATCTAACACAGTGCTTGGCATATAGCAGACGCCTAAGTGCATGTTGGATTGAATTAGATTGGATTGGGTTGAGTTGGGTTGGATTGGATTGGCTTGGGTTGGGTTTAGGATCACAGACGTTAGAACTAAAAGGACCCTTCAAAATCATCTAGTTCACTCCCTCATTTTTCAGATGAGGAAGCTGAAGCCCAACCAGATAGAAACTTGCCCAAAGTCACAAAAGTTACAAGTAGCAAGGTCAAAGATGCAAACTGGGGTTCCAGTGCTCAAAATCTAGTCAACTTTTCACTGAACCACACTCTTCTCTGGAAGGCCAGCAAAACTATTTCCCAATAGAATTTCTCACTAAACATCAGCTTCCTTGGAAAGTTAGTTAGTTAGTTTCCATCTTGTCATTGTTTGATAAGCTTCTTTAATGTACATTTTTCTTCTCTCACTTTTGATAAGCAAGTATTTGTTAGACAATTTTTTGCAAGAACGTTTTGCTAAAAGTGTTGACCTTCAGAAACAGCAGAACTCAAGCAGCATAAAGTAGCCAATGTCCCTACAGAGTCACCCTGCTTTTGTTTCTTTTTCTCCCAGAGCTGAGAAAAGGAATACAAATGTCAAATGTTCATTAAGCCCCACAAAGGGAGCCCCAGCCAAAGAATATTTTTGTTTTGCTCACTGGTAATACATTTGTGTAAAAGAAAGTCTAGTATTGTTCATATGGGCTTCAGCTGGGAGAGATTCAGCGAGCGTGAAAACATCGTCAGGGAAGAGAGAGCACAATTGTCTTTCCTGTGGCATCTTTCGAGTCCGAGGGTCAGCCATTCCTTGAAATGCTTTATCAAAAGCATATCTTTCCTGTCATACCAAGCATCTAACTCTTGCAAGTTCTTCAAATTTTTAAAATTATCTCTTTGATAC